TGCCATCGAGAGCTTCCAGAAGGCCGACTTCGGGGTCCCATTGATGAAGAAATGGCATTGGCTACTCCATCTGGCAGATTTCTTGCAGAGACATGGGACATTGCCATCCACATTCACCACAGAGCGGAAGCACAAGACAATTGGCAAGTATGCCACCAATTTGCAGAAGACAACTGCTTTCGAAAGCCATTTGATGCAGCAGGTCGTGGCCATGGAAATCACCACTCTGAAGGAGCCATGTTTGTTTCCGGACAGCTGCCAGCTCATAAAGCCAAAGAAAGCCACCAAGCAGCAACTCCAAGTCCTCCGCCATTTTGTGGATGGCCCAGCAAATGAAGCCATGGTTGCTTCGAGTGCGAAGCTCGCCAGAGGTGGCACCATTCATGCCCACGACGTGGTGGTCTTCCACCAGCAAGACGGACGTTGGGAACTCGGCCAAGTCTGCCTCCATTTGGAATTGGGTGCACAGAAGCTCACACTTCTCCAACGGTGGACTCCCACGGTGGACAAAGCATCCCACTCTGCGAAATGCACCATCACGAACGAGCAAGGCTTCGTTCCCATCGATTCCATCCAGTACCCACTGCTGTATAGCAAAGGATCAGACCAAGAGGCCACAGTGCTCATCCCGTACCAGCTATACAGCAGTCTGTGAAACAATGATGCTTCACCCGAAAGGGTTCTTGGGAATTTAGGGTTTAGAATCTCAGCTCATGCCTTCATGGCTGGTGTATTTGAAACAGTTTAGACCATGGCATGGCCATCCTTTTTTCAATAGGACATCCATTACACTGCCTATATGGCCAGCTATACTTTCGGCATGATAATCCATGAGAAAGCCTTTTTGGCCAGCCCATTTCTAGAGCGTTCCCATACTTAAGCCCTTTCCCGGCCATGTGTTTACACTGAATATGTGCCAGGAAAACCACACCAAAAAGCACACTTATAACTAGTTATATCTAGTTAGCTAACTCCACCTAACTAGTTATAAAAAAATACTTAACTCATGTTAACCAAGATAACTAGTTATAACACAGCGAGGATTCCAAGCAGGGCAGCTTCGGAGGGCCAGGGCGACCCCAGGAGAGGCGACTGCTCCCGGGCCAACTCAAGTGACTTGGGCGCAAGCCGGCGAAAGCGGTAATTAACGGACTAGCTGCCATATTTCTGACTTTTCCGTTAATCCTTGTTTGTGGATCTTATAAGTGGTCCCTGGGTTTGCGGACGTGTTTCAGGACCGGTCCTCGTGACTTTTCCCCTAATGCGCCGAGGTCGGCGGCAGCAGGCGGGAGCCTGGTTAATCCGGCTACGCCTCCTTGGGGTAGCATGTCGCCGCTAGGCAATTAGCCTGCTAGCTTTAGCTATAGGGGGTGCACCCTGGTGCCGCCGACAGTCGCCACTTGGTCGTGATGCGCTGCCTAAATCCGGCACCTCTGCATCACCAGCTCGGGCTTGCGGTTTTGCTTGCCTGTGGGAAACCCTCGCAAAACGTCGCGTATAGACAGGGTTTAAGTGGCTGACATCGTCAGGGTCTGGGGTTGGGCCTGGGCGATGCTTCAGCGGGGCTTGGCCTGCATCATCAAGACTTCCTTCCAAAAAGCCTCTCAACCCATGAAGCACTGTTTTTAACAAGGTATCGGAGGGGTATAAGCAAGGCTCATTTTTGCGCATTTTGGCGCCAAGCGCTGCCGGGCATGCCGGTGATGCTGGGTCCTCGCTCTCCAAAACGCTGTAAATAACGCAAAAAACTGCTGCGCTGAGCGTTGGGCTGTTGTTCTGTCCGTTTTGCTCTTGCTGTGGCTGGCTCGCGCGCTGCGCGGTCCTTGCTTTTTTCCCGTTGGTTTTCGGGTTTTTTGGCGCGCGCGCGCGCGCGCGACCCCAGCCACAAAACGCTGCTATTTACGGTGTTTTGTTGCGTTTGCGTTTCCGGGCTGGCTTGCGGGCTGCTCTTTTTGGGCTGCTTTTTTGGGTCCTCTGGCGCGCGCGCGCGCGACCCCATGTCAGCCTTCTGGGTTGGGGCCCGGCTGGGCCCAGAAAGCCGGCATCCCCGGCATTATCTGGGGTTAAGGTGGGCAACATAGCCATATCATAGCACAGGATACGTTTCTCATGCACACAACATGACATGACGTGGTATAACTTCAAAGAGGCGTAGCCGGCTAGAGGCCGCAGGCCCAGAAAATAATTTCAATTGGGCCAAGCGCCGCTACTACCAGCTTGGGTGGGGAAGGGGGGGGTCATTTCTACACTTCTAAGGGTCTTAGCAAAAAAAGGCGAAAGTATAAAGTTAAAGGGATCCCCAAATCAGCTGGTAAATGTGGTTGCGAACATGGCCAACATGGTACACTCCTGCAGATTCATTTGGTACCTTTCTTAAACACCTTTCTTAGCTGAATTGAAACTTCCTTTCGGATATTTTGGGTGTTCCATGTCAATCGCAGAGGGGCATTTTTTCAGCAACCACGCAGCACACCTTTCCCACGCACGTGTCGAGTCCGGCCTCCTCTCCTAGCAGCTTTCGTCTGGCAGCACCTCGAAGTGCTGGCCGTACTCCTGCGAAGAGTGAGCTCAGCCCAAGAGAACCCCAGAGGAACATCTGGAGGCAACCACATCGTGATTACCAGGGCCTTCCTCTGGTTGCTACGCCGACCGAAAGCTGCCCCCGTCCCAAATTCGGCAATTAAAAATACCCGAATGAGCCTCACTTTGATTGCGGCTCTGAAGTCAAACACGGGCAAGAAACACGCAACTTGGACTCTGGCCGTACCCGCCATGTCCATGCTGCTCAGAGGTCCGTCCTTCTCTTCCAAAAAACAAGGAGCACCTTGGAGACTGGGTGGTTTCTGAAGAAACAACATGGGTGAAGAGAATCGACAAGGACTCAATCCTACGAAATGCACCACAACCACGCCTCCTGGCTCCTCTAGCTTGGGTAGTCGCCCCATCCTGATCCAACTGCTTGGCTGAGGCATTTCGTTCCCATGTTGGACAAGCTTTAATGGCAGTAGCCTGTATTGTGCAATTTGCTTCCTAATTCAGAATCGATAGACTGTTTTAAGGTCCTCTATTGTGGCAAGTTGTTCCCAAAAAAACGCAAGGAAGAAATGCCAGGAAAAATCCAGAGCAAAGACAACTAGCCAAAGAAGTCTGGCAAAGAAATCTGGGCTAGGAATTCCTTTGTTGAAATGGTTCCCAAACCATCAAATTTAAGATAACGTCTCTACACAAAAGTAAAGTAAGGGCAAAAGTTGGCACAAAGGGGGGTGACAAGAGGCCCTGATCCTCTTTAGTGCGACTGTTTTGGGGCCCTCTTTAGTGTCCAACTATTTTGGGAGGTTGCTAGAAGAACGGGCCTTGGCAACACCAAAAGTAGAATTGGCAATACTATCGTAAGTACTGGGAATCTGAAAGGGGGCCTTGGCAATACTAAAGTAGACTTGGCAATACTAAAGTAAGTTGTGTCCCTCCCTGACCCAGAGGATTTTCCCTAAAGAGGGTCCAGAAGACTGGTTCCACTGTTGAGGGGGGGGGTCACATTAAGGCAGGTCCAACATTAAGACAAAGGTGTTTAGACTACTGTCACCCCCAAAGTGGAAACAGGACCTTGGTATTCATGTGAGTCAAGGTCCTCATGCGAGTCTAACTGGAACCATATAAGGAAGCGAGAGCCTAATTAAAACTTCAACTATGTAGGTGTTTATCGTCGCTCTGATCTCTATTCTCGGTGGGATGATTTGAAAAACCAATCACACATTGACATGTCACACAAACAAATTACATGTTGTCAGAGGGCATTCATTCCCACACTCCCTGCGAGCACTTTTTCCAGGGTACCCCTTTTGGCGATGTGTGAGGAAAGAGGAATTGCCCCCATCTATGCTTCCAAAGCAAACATGGAACCTGACAAAGGAGCTTCTGCAAGACAACTTTTCCTCCAAGAGGGACTTCTTTCAGGTTCCATGTTTGTTTTTTGGAAGGGCGAAGAGGTTTGCTGGCGCCTCATGTGAGCGCCAAACAAACACCGAAACGATTCTCTTAGGCCCCAGCACGCGGGTCGCCATCTTCAGCAGGGCTGTCGCCTGTCCGGATATTAAAAGCCCAACAACCGCCCCCGCGGCAAAACAATGCGCAGGCAGATATGGGGCACTTCTCAAAATTGAGGGTGGCGTCCTTTTGGATTCCTTTTATTTAAAAAGTGGCCCCCCTCTTGTGAGACACCCATATCATTGATGTCATCCCACCTCTGCCAGGACCTGAACACCTTTGGCCTTCGCGAATCCGACAAAGAAGCCAACCCTGACCCACGACCTGGGAAACGTACCCTCCCCGAGTAACATGCTCCCACCAAACATGGAACCTGACAGGCACCCGGTCCCTTTAGACGGAACATGGTCCAATCCCCGAAGACGTCGAACGGCGATCTCAACCCTGGGCACCTTACGCGGAGACATCGGCTCCATGGGCACCTTCAAACTGGGGTGAGGTGGGGTGAAGTGGGGTGAGGTGAAGTGACGAGGGGGGTGCTATTTGAAAGGGACCCCCACAAAAACACGCGCGAAACTCTTTCCAGTAAATTGAAGTGTTGGGTGTGGGGGTCCTTGCTCGGCTTGACAGCAATGCACATAGCTCCTAACAGCACGTAGCTGGACCTGTGCAAAAAAACACGCATATACGAAAAGCTGCAGCCTGCAACGATCCTTGTTGCGAATGTTCAAGACAGCTCAACAGTAACAACATTTCCCAGGAGAAACCACATCTTCTGCGGCCTTTTGCGGCAACAAACTTAGCAACATGCTCCTCGGAAGCTTCCGCAGGCTTCCGTGTCCTGAAGCACACCTTCCGCGGAACTCCATTTGACACCCCAAGACTAAAGTTGCTTCACACGCTTTTCGATCACAGCTGCTTTTGTGGAGAAAAACAATCCAGTGGCGGTTTCGGCGGTCAAAGCCATTCAGCAACATGATGAGGATCAAATCAAATCATCGTGATCTTTTCCATTACAAGCCCAACAGCGAACAAAACAAAACCAGCCCGCAGCAAATGGACGAATGGTTCCAACCTGTTGGGGTAAGGATCAAACAAATCTGGGGGGTAAGGGCTATACTCATCCCAACAACGGAAACTGTTCAAGGGCATCCCTCCCTGAGACTGCGTCTGACTCGTTCTCGACTCCGGGGGTGGCACGTTCTCGCCCATGGCCTCCATTGGGGCTTTCGCTCTGGATTGCTCCTTGCAAGGTGAATTCAACCTGCCACGCGCCGGTTGCAGGCATTGACCTTGCTGGAAGAAGGGGCCTTTGCAGGGTTGACCATCTGTTCGGATCCCAGCAAACAGAAGGGTCCACAAGTGCCCAGAGGTGCTATGTTGGGCCCTGACGAGCAGGAAGAAGCCTAAACTTGTTGATTCGGAGCACGACAAGGGGCACCCTTGTTTTGGGAATGATTCTCAAGGGGTACCCCCTCCAACAACAAATCAAAGCGCCACAAACAACACCACGAGAGATCTGAGAAAAACAAATGCACAACAACAAGCGCCAAAAGCTCGGCTCCCGCAGGAAGTGTTGGATCCGCAACGCCGCGCCCTTCAGGCGCAGGAAACGCCGCCGATCCTCCCGATCCGATCGGCGAAGCGCCGAGAAGGATGGAAGTTGGAGCGATTGGAACGCGAGGCAGCGTGAACTCCCCATGTTTTGGAGGGTTGGTTGGCTGTTTTTGTTGCGGGATTCTTCTAGCTGACCATTTGCAGGGTGAATTTGGGCATGCGGGGTTCGTTTTTTGGGAAGGATTGGTCGTTGTGTCTTGAAGGTGGTTTGAATAGCAACACGCCGTGACACACGTGAAGCGGCTGAACTTAGTGCAAACTTGCAGAATCTTCCCTGAGTGGAGTCACAACAAGTCCGGACTCGCTGTTTACCATTAGTCCTCCCAAAATGTTTAAAGTCAAGACAAGTGAGGAAGTGAGGAAAGCACAAGCAGGAATGGTAGAAACTAAACGGTAGGTCCAGTTGACGAATGAGAAGCCCTTCAGGGGGGTCAACCAGCTGGCTTTGAGGTTTGGGGGGACAACAAATATGAACAAGCTATAAACAAACCGGGAAAAAGCGAAGGACAAAGACGACCAAGCATTGCAGCAACGTCTTTATCAAGCGATGCCTTGGTTTTGACCAGGGGGCTGGCTCTGAATTTCGGTGCATGTATTGACTCCCTTCCGTCGTTCACCTATTAATTACTTTCCCATTCTGGATGTGATAAGAGATAGGACTGGTCTGTAGACAGCTTTCTTCATCATATCTTCGTCTCGTGGATAATTGGTGATGAATAGAGACGAAGGAAGAGAATTGGCTTCCAGGCCATAATATTTCCCTAACATAATTCACGAGAAACAGATAGGGAAAGGGATTAGGAAAGGAATATTGATGAGAAGAAGAGCATGTAATCACAATGAAAAGATACCAAGAATAATATAGGATTTCATAGAAGATAGAAATACTTGTAAATGAAGGTAAGAAATAAACCAAACAATAAAACCAAATAAGATATAAATATAATAGAGATGACTCACCCCGGCTCCCTTCTCTCGCCTATCATTGACACCAACATTATATCCTCAACCTACGACCGAAGGGAAGAGAGAAAGGGAATTATCTGTTTGCTTTTACTTTAGGTGTGTCTTTATCCTAATCTTGGCTTTTACAACATGCAAATTAATATAAAATAGTAAATAATAGATTCTGAGATTTTAATAGTTGTAAAAGCAAAGAAATATATTATAATAAAATAGAAAAGACTGGAAAGATGGGCGGGATTCTTCATGTCATTCCTATGTCATTCTGTTGCCTCGAGAACCTGATATAATAGCCGCTCATTTCCTTCTCCCGCTTCCCGCGGCTTCCAGGACAGTTAACTTTCACACCTTCACTCCTCGCTTGTAGCGGAGCAAATAACCAAGAAAAGAGAAAGAAATAAATATGAAAAGATAATAGAAAAGCAATATAAAATTAATATAAGAAAGAGATGAATGAATAGGAAATGATGTACAAGTGAGAGCGTTTCCTTCCTGCATTCTATCGTTTACCTCAGATTCCCAAGGCTGGGAAGAGGATGGTCATGAACACACCAAAAGAGACTCATAAAGACATCTCACTACATCATATTGCTATTACAAAAATGTTAATAATTAAATAGAAGTATATTAGGAATGAAATGACTGGCCTTGAGGCTCTATCCTGACTCATACATCTCTCCATTTCCTCCCTCACGCACTATCCTGTAGGCATCTCTTCTCTCAATGTCCTATCAGTCTTTACAGTGCGTGAATTGGGAGGTGAAAGATAGGGAAGCATGACCAGGAGTGAGTCAATGCATGCAGGAACTAACCATAAAACCGAGAGAAAGAAATGAACGGTGAGGAAGGATGACGTGGGTTAACTCCCTGCATTTGGTCTTCCTTCGGTCCCTTTTCCCTTACCATTCCTGTCCCTCCGCCACCCTGCAAGCCCCGACCGGCGAGGTCGAGAGGAGGTAGGGAATGGACCAGAGGGAAGTGACCGGTAAGACTCTCCATCTCAGCCGTTGGCTGTCTTCATCTGTTTCCCTTCTCCCGCTTACCTTCATGGCGGGTCATTCCTTACTTCCCGGCTCACGGTTACCGGCATCGAAAGACGCCAGCTGTCGTAGGGAGGGTTCATTCCCTTTCATTTCAACACTTTCAGACACTCTAGGAAGGTCGCTATAGCTGAAAATGCAATTTCATTGCAGTACGCAGTAACCCTTACAGGCGCAATCTATTCGAACTTCTGACTTCCAGTCTTCGGCTGACCAAACCGAACCCAAACCGAACCTTAGTGACTTGTTGATCCCTTGCTAACAATCAAACTGGTGTGATTTGTCACATGTCCCTCGAAAGCTGATGGAAATTCCAGTTGCGCGCCATGTGCTTGGACGGCCTCTTTGTACAAACTTACGCCCCCACCCCCCCCCCGGTACGAGGGAAGAGTATGTATAATGTGCCGGGGAGAGGTCTGGGCATCAACATCACACTGAGAGCTGGCTTTCAGGCAGATCTTGTATAGGAATTGATTTCAAAAAATTGCAACTCTTAGTCTGAGAAATTGGCTTCCAGGGGAATTTGGTAGGAATGAAATTGCAGATATTACAAATTAATTTGGCAAAATTTGTAGAATATCAAAACCATCTGGCCCAAATTACAAATTTTACAACTTTTACAAATTCTAGTCTGAGAAATTAGCTTCCAGTGGAATTTGGTAGGAATTAAATTACAAATTTTACAAATTTTACAAATTCTAGTCTGAGAAATTAGCTTCCAGGGGAATTTGGTAGGAATTAAATTACAAATTTTACAAATTTTACAAACTAATTTGTAAAATTTGTAAAAAATCTGGCCCAAAATTACAAATTTTACAAACTTTACAAATTAATTTGCACAATTTGTAGAATATCAAAAACATCTGGCCCAAAATTACGAATTTTACAAATTTTACAAATTCTAGTCTGAGAAATTAGCTTCCAGTGGAATTTGGTAGGAATTAAATTACAAATTTTACAAATTTTACGAACTAATTTGTAAAATTTGTAAAAAAAAACATCTGGCCCAAAATAACAAATTTTACAAATTTTACAAATTCTAGTCTGAGAAATTAGCGTCCAGGCGAATTTGGTAGGAATTAAATTACAAATTTTACAAATTTTACAAATTTAAAAAAAAATGTAAAATATCAAAAAAATCTGGCCCAAAATTACAAATTTTACAAATTTTACAAATTCTAGTCTGAGAAATTAGCTTCCAGGGGAATTTGGTAGGAATTAAATTACAAATTTTACAAATTTTACAAATTCTACAAATTATTTTGTAAAATTTGTAAAATATTATCAAAAAATCTGGCGCAAAATTACAAATTTTACAAAGTTTACAAATTAATTTGTTAAATTTGTAAAATATCAAAAAAGCATGGCCCAAAATTACAAATTTTACAAATTTTACAAATTCTAGTCTGAGAAATTAGCTTCCAGGGGAATTTGGTAGGAATTAAATTACAAATTTTACAAATTTTTGCAAATTCTAGTCTGAGAAATTAGCTTCCAGGGGAATTTGGTAGGAATTAAATTACAAATTTTACAAATTTTACAAACTAATTTGTAAAATTTGAAAAAAATCTGACCCAAAATTACAAATTTTACAAACTTTACAAATTAGTTTGTAAAAATTGTAAAATATCAAAAAAATCTGGCCCAAAATTACAAATTTTACAACTCAATTTGTAAAATTTGTAATTTAATTCCTACCAAATTCCCCTGGAAGCTAATTTCTCAGACTAGAATTTGTAAAATTTGTATAATTTGTAATTTTGGGCCAGATTTTCTTGATATTTTACAAATTTTACAAATTAATTTGTAAAATTTGTTAAAATTGTAATGTTGTGCGAGATTTTTTTGATATTTTACAAATTTTACAAACTAGATTGTAAAATTTGTAATTTCTCAGACTAAGATTTGACAAATTTTGCAAATTCATTTGTACAATGTGGAAATTTCACTTTTTACACATGTACTTGCGACATTTTGTGAAATGCTTAATTGTTAACCATATTTGTTGGAATTTGGCATAGTTCAGAAACTAATCTGCAAAATGTGTATAACTTGTAATGTAACTCCAGCCAAATCTCCCCGGAAAGCAAATTCCCCAGAGTACGTTTCAATGTCAGCAAACATCCGATTTAGAATTACAAGCTGGATTTGAACAAACAGTGCTCGGGGGTTGCAAATTGCACAAGCTAGTTTGTAAAAAGTCGGTCCAGAATTACACAAATTACAAGTAAAGGTGTGAACATTGTAAACTTGATAAAACTTGATCACCGTCCTTCCCTTAACGGCTTTTTTTGGGTCAAGTTTGTTTCATTTTGAATCGGTTGAAGTTTGGTAAGGAAATGGGGAGGAAAGCATATTATCTGTTCATTTGGAATCTCTCTTTTCTGTTATTTCCATGTGTTTGTTTTTCTATAGGATCTCGAATTCATACTCCTTTCTTTATCTTTCACTCTCTCCCCTGACCATTTCTTCCTACAATCAACTCAATAAACTAGGATGGAAAAGACAGGGATAAAGAAATAAACATAAGATAGGTAAAGGAGAGAGGACATCTTCTGCAACACGCTTCTTTTGGATAACTTTCATACCACACATACCTGATGGAGAAAGAGATGGAGAAAACCGTACAAATAGAAAGACATGGAAAGGCGACTGGGGTTGTGGGATGGATTCATTTGTACCTCAGAGATTTTATCGCATACCAGGTTAGACCAATCGATGAAGGTAAGGGAAAGGGAAAGGTGTGAAAGAACAAAGAACGATTAAGAAAATCTTCCGCCCAGACATCACGCAGAATACACCAGATAGCCTGTCCGTGAGACTTGGAGGATATGATGATTGAAGATTCCCTCACTATCCCTTTCCAGCCTGTCTTTGGGGCCTCTTCCAAATCATTGCCTGCTTCCTCTTGTCCATCCATCCTCATCCTTCATTTGCATTTATGGATGGGCAAGAAGTGACGAAAGCATTTGCAGGCAGTAATAATTACGGTAGAAAACGTAATATCCTCCCTTTATTTTCAAAATCCTGTTTTATACAAGCTAACAACATAAAAAGGGCGCGAGACAGTTATGACAAAGCTAAAGATAATTATGGGTGGTGCTTACAGAAGCTATCTAATTTATTGCGTGCTAATACATGCTTCTAATCTTAAAACCATACTTACATTCCTCGTTCTTTTCTATTTTATTCTTCCCTTGTTGAGATTCATTGCGCTATCTTTCTTTGTGAATGCTTTTGGCTGTCCGGTCGTCGCTGGGGCTCACCGAAAGGAAAAAAGATTATGAGTAGGTCTTACTCATATTATTTTGCTTGTGTTTTACTATCTTTTGGACCTTTCATCCTTCCCCTTCTTCTGTTTCCCTTTTCAACCGTTGAAGAATGCCAGAAATCGAGGGGTGAAGGAAGGAGGGAGAAGATAGGAAGGAGATCAACCGTTCCATCTTTACCTTTCCCGTCCCCACTACGTTCTGGAGTTCTGTCACTACGAAAGACTCACGATGGAACAGTCTAAAAGTGGGACGAAGGAAGGGGATATTGGCTTTATTTTTGGTTTATTTGTAGAAAAAGAAAGCCACTTTCCACAACCCGCTTCTTTCTGTAAAAAAACAGATGGAAGAAGATGACCTTTCCTTTCCCGGCCCAGCCAACGCTTGTCATTTTCCTTGCCTTGTCTTTTACATTGCCATGTTTTGGAAATGAAGAAGTAAAGCGTCTGGCAAGGAGGTAAGCGCCCATCAATACTAATTGAAGATACCGAATTGGATGGGCACTTACCATGTCTTTCCATCACTTCTTTCTTTCCTTTTGATGAAATTGAAGATTGAAAATGGGAAGTGAGAAGCCTCTCTTGACTTCTTCCTCAAGCACAGGCTGCTGTTAATCTTATGCCGTGTGATGCTTGGGAAGAAGAAGAAGAGAAGATAGGAGAGGGTGAACAGAAGTAACGTGATTCTTTCTTTTCCTCCGATCGCATCCTGATTTTCCCATGTATGTCACCCACCAAAATCTTCAACCCATAAAGATTTGACTACAGAATCCTTAAAACCTTTTTAATAGCAAATGCTAGCGGTCTCTCTCTTTTGCTAATAATCTTCTGGAAATGAAAGGACAATAATAGAGTTTTAGATCATAGGATGGTGTAAGGACTGGGTTCTTCTCATCGTTGACGTCCTTCCTTGTCCAAGTCACGGAGGAAGAGAGGTTGGTTTGTGGTCCCAAGAGCTTGTATCCTTCCCTTTCTATCTCTTCCACTTCATCCAGGAAACATTTGTGGATGGACATGTCGTTATTAAGATCATTGCCTTTCGGTTTACCATCCCATTTATTGCTTGAATGTCTATCTTTGTTGTCTTCCATTTACAATATTATCTGAGAAGTATAGAAATGCTTCTGGGTGTGAGGTTGAAAAAATTGGCGATGTAAAGAAAATCACGATGGTTGGAACAGAAAGTTAATCATTACCAAGAATAGGTTCATAGTCTCTCATCTGCTGGTTGCATTCTCATGTACTTGTTCACTTTGCAACCTTTCTACTTGTTTATCTATCTTCCCAATCTCTCTTTCTCTCTCTCGCATTGTAAACGTTGGAGGCATCTGGATGGGGGAAAAAACCCGGGGGGTAATAACAAATATGAAGAAGAGGAACTGGCTAACACTCCTTCTGCTCTCCCGTCTTTCGCGGCTGTCAGGATTAGTAAGAATTACGAAAAAGGCCTATGAAGAAACATAATAGATACATAAATAAATCAATAGGCAAATGACAGAACCAAGAACATGAAAGTAATAAAGAATGTTAATAAATGAAACGGTCTATTGGGAGACAAATTATTCTTGTCCATCAAGAACCCTCTCCAACACAGTGAAAAACCTAGAGTGGACAATGATGGATATGATAGAAAACGCAATAAGATAATAAAACGCAGTAAGCTATGAGACTACAACGATTCTGTAATTATTGCCTTTAAATTCACCCCGTGACCACTTCATCCCATTTACGCAAATATATTGGAGAAGATATTAGTGCATGATGAAGAATAAACACAAATTATAACCATAGATAGTTTGCTTGACTCTGAAGAGGCTGTTGGTCTATACTCATGGAGTTTATTTAGTTGTATCTTCTTTCTGCTTTTGTTCTAATAGAATTTCCTTGCAAAATCTCTCACTCACTTCCTATTGTATCATTAGATATGTGCAATATTCTTGAGTTTTAGGTGAGAATGAAAAGGATATTAATAGTTCAAGTTGCTGGAGAAGGACGGAACACTATTTACGAAAGTCTATTTATTTACTAGAATCTCATGAGTAATGTTAACTAATTTGTATCGATTGGGGTTTATTTCTCACCTTCTCTTTTTAAGGGGTTTCCTTTTGCCTCCCTTCATCGCTAGAAGTGGCCGAAGGAAGTTAATAGTTTTCTCATCAGAATATTGCCTGTCCAAATAGAGTGATGAATGAAGAGACGCTTAACTGTTATTATTGCTTAAGTGACGTCTCACGGACAGGCTACGTCTCCAGACCCTTTTTATATCTCTCTGATTGTTCTTTCCTTTTATGTTTATTTGACCAGCATTTGTTTACTATTTACTTCTTCCTCACTGACATTCGATTTTCTCTAACTCTGTTATCTGTTGCTGTGGCTTTAATCATTTGATTAACATTTTCCTCTTTCCATTTCCATGCTCTATCTTGGTGAGCTAGCAAACGTTTAATTTAGAAAAAATATGGAAGTGATAGATAGAAGGACATCATTATTTGTTTCTATTAATACTACTTCACGAGGGTATACCGTGTGCTTTTATCACACTCTCTCACAACCAAAGAGAGGATGTTCATCTGGTCTTCATCACCCCTCACCCTTTTTTCTATTACTACAAACTAGCTGGTTCTTTCAGGGTGGGGCATGCCAAGACATTCCTTTCTACTCTTGGGATTGCACCAAAAGAGTCTATGTGCAACAATGAGCCGTTCTGCTCTTGAAGGCGCGCGGCGGCACATTGTACGTAATCTTCCCTGCCACCCCCCCCCCCCCCGCATGAGCAACCACATCTTCAGACTCTCTGTTCACATTTAGTAAGCAATAAGCTATGGAACAGTTAGCCCTTCTACCCTTACATGCTCTGGGCACTGCCAAACTGCCGCATTTGTTTTGGCGCGGGGCGTGCCTGTTGTGCCACTTGCCTGTTGTGCCATATTGCTGTCGTGCCCGTTGTGCCACATATACTGTGGATGGACGAAATCCTGCACCACCGAACAAATCCTGGAATGTTTGGATTCCCCTCCAAATACCAAACAATGGTTCCAACACTGGTTGCTTAGGTCGCGCGAACGAAGTTTCGCAACCATCCAACAGCATTTGGTATTTTTCTTTCTAACAAAAACACAGTTACATACAAACACATATTGGTATGTGTTCACCCCCATTTTTTTTAAAGAAGCTCCTACCGCCCAATAAAAATATCGGGGACCGACCAAATCGGGACCGCAGCTCCACAGCTCCAAACCCCGGGCCTCCCGGGCCCTGAGCAGCGCCCTCAGCAGCTCCACGAGGCGCTGCGCCGCCCACAGCCGCCGCCGGTGCGCCGCCCGGACCTCCCCGCGCGGAGCTCCGCGCGCGGAGCTCCGCGCGCGAGGGGCGCGGAGGGGGGATGGCCGAGGCATTTCGGGGTGAGACGACAAAAAAGTCCAGGGCTAACTTCTTGAGGGGTGTGTCTTTGTTTGAGGGGTTTATGGCAAAATGGCGGTGTTCCTTTTGGCTTCCCTTCCGAGTTCCAACCCAAAAGTCTAGGGCTACTTTCCATTTCCATTCTTTCCAAAAATCCGAATCTTTTTCAGGAAGCCATGAAAGAAACAACTGGGGAAATGGCTGGTTTTTGACAAGAACGATTGTTGAAAAGAGTCAACGCCCCCCCCCCCCTCAACCATTTTTGGGCGGCGCCTAAGTCAGACCCCCAGCCTTCTAGTTTCTCACAGTCAATTCCCCCCAAGCGGTAGGTTCAAGGGCAAGCCCTGTTTCTCACTTTGAGAAATTGCCAAAATCATGACAGATCCCCGCCCCCACATTGGTTGCAGTTTGACGTTTGACACATAGGCAGTGCCCTCGGCGGAAATGGGAAGGAAGATTCAGGGGAATGTTTACAAGGCGGGTACCCCAAATTGGGTTGCCCTGGTAAATGGACACGTGGACCAAACATTATGCGGTCTGGTGGTTTAATGTTGATCCATACCCATGTGGCTTCGCCTTTGTCACCTTCACCTTTCTCAGCCGGCAACTCAGGCGCTGGCCATGGCTCCTCGCCAATACGCCTTGCGAGAGAGTCGACGCTCCGTTGCCGTGACTCGCTTCTGGCGATCTTATCTGCTAAGATGGTCTCCAATAAACCTCTGCTCAATACCCAGGAAAAGCGGTGCAGAAGTTGTAGGCCCCATTTATTGCTTATTTTCTTGGGGGCAGTGGCTTGAGGATAGTGACGATCGTGAACAACTTCCACTCTTAGACAGAAGGGACTCCACCGCCAAAGGAAGAAAGAAGAGTCAGCTGTTGCGTGAACGAGCAGGAAGCAAACATTTTACAGGAGCCGGGATGCAATAAAGCAGCAGAACAAAGAAAAAACATGGAATCCCATGGTTCATGCTGCTTCGCTCCTTCCATATGCAGATTCCTCTGTTGACCCCAGTTCTAGCACTCCATCAAAGGGCTACATCCACTGCACACATTTGCGAATTCGGATGGGGTCTAAGGAGTTTTCTGCTACCCACTGGAAAATGACCCCACAAACTCCGGTGGTTTTGGACCATGTCAGGTTAATGAGCAAAAGCCTGCGAGGGCTCATATCGCGAGCTGCCAGAAGCATCTCCCTCAGCGCTGGCGCATGTTGGACCACACCCTCTGCTCACCATTTAAGGTCCCCATGTGGTTTTCGAGGGTGCCCCGTTCAAGCTGCAAGGCGAAAGCAAAAGCACCGCCAGCAGTTTTGGACATACCCAGTTTGAGACGCATCCATCCTGCTCCCCCCCCACCCCCGCCTGTAGTACAGAGGCAGCAGCCGCCTCATCACACCTGGAAGCATGTCTAATAGCCGTTCAACAAGCACTACCGTGTTTTGTTTTTGTGAGTGTTCCCTTTTCAGGTTGGTTAAAGATCTAATGAAGCGCAAGCTCCATTATGTTGGGAGTCCATAGAAGGTAGCCAACACGCACAAGGGATGGTGCAAACTTCCCCGTATAACATAATGTTTGGACCATACCTAAATTTCTAACAGAACATCTCCTGTCAACACCAAAACACTTCAGTACGCTTTCGAAATGGACACCACAATCTGCTGCCCTTCAAACATAGCTGGGGCAAAGGGTCCCCCAATCCAACTAAATGCGAGGTCGGCGGGAGAAGTGCTCTTTGTGTGTTGGTGTAGAACCGGCCTGTTCTAAGCTAGTATTGGGCTTGGGGCAGTATCGTCTCTAGGGGGCAAGTCACTGCGGCCTCACCATCCTCACCCACCAAACACGAAGGGTGCTTTGAGGGCTACGCTCGCCCCCTTCCATACCTTGAGGGAGTTCCTTCCACATGGTCCCGAACAAACCCCATGGCGCGTCGCCTCTCGCAATCGCTGGCCCAGGGAGAGGGCGCAGCGCTCCAACCTGAGTTTACGCGAGCTACGCAAAACGACCCTATACATGAAGGCCGCCATTTTGTCACATGTGGGCCTGGTGTGTCTTTTGGCTTCGGTTTCCCTGTGGTTTCCCTTTGAAGTGTAAAACCAGCAAAACATGGGTACCATCAAAACACGCGAGCCACCCAGTTGGTCCTCTTGCCTTTTGCCCTTGATAGAAATACATGCAAAAGGACCCCGGTGTAGAATCCTTATGGATCGGCTTGTGGGGAAAAGGTCACGCGGGATTTGGACTGCTGCTCTTGGTGCCAGGCTTGCCATGATCGAGCAACAAACTTGCAATTCAGCAAGCAATCAACTGGCTACACACTCTTGGGACTGGATCTTCAACAGAGCCCTATGGTAGGATTTGTCGGTTCCAATATGCATACACCACAAATGAGTGCATTTCCCAAAACAGGGGACCCCACATAGGGAAAGAAAGAGAAACCACCAACATTTGCCGGTGCAGAAACTGGACATGTGTGCTATACACACCCCGCACCTTTTTCAAACCAGCCAAAAACGCCTCGCGCAGTTCTTGGAACTTTGCGCGTTTTTGATTGAAACGCGCACTTTTCCGTTGTGCGACTTTTTTTTTGCTCAAATGAACTCAAAGGAGAGGGAAACACAGTTTTGTCAACAACGGGGGAACCCGGGACCTTAAAAGGAACGAACCCTTCCGTGACTGCGACCTCTCCCTTAACCTTGGGGCTAGCGCGGTGCAACGCGCTGTTTTCAGCACTTGAGCCAAAGCAGTGATTGAATCATGCTTTGGCAATCACTTGAATGTACAACATGCAACTGACTACATGGGGACCTACCTCATGTACCTCTGGGCCATAAATGTCATCGTGATAATTGACTCCCCCCTCATTGACGGCACTGAGGGAGTGTCTTGGGCGCATTACCACGCCAACTTGAAGTCAAGTTTACATCACAACGACTGACACAAGTTATTCAAGCATCACCCAGGCACTTCGCACACTTTTGGAAATTTTGTGGGCATGCTGCAGCGCACTAGGCAGCTGCTTTAGCGGCTCTACTTTCACGAGCGTCTTCAAGCTTCTCTGGAAGGTCAACACGAATGCCGAGCAACCGGATGGCATGGTCCCACTTGTTGGGTGGAAGTGCTTTCGTGAATGTCGGTTTGGACGTATTCTATCGAGATGTGTTCGCTTTCAAGCTGCTCTGCGATGCACGCGAGGTTCACCTTGTGCGTTCGCTGGACACAGCGTAGCTTGGATGAGAAACCTCTCCTTGCTACGAGGATAGTCGCCTGATTGTCCTCGTGGATCTTGAGATGGAATGGTCTGTCCAAGATCAGCTCCCACAAGCTAAGCGCAGGGAGCGCCTCCTGATAAAGGGAGTATGCGAGAGATACAATCTCCGCCTCGGTCGTTGATCGGGAGACCGATGTCTGCCTTTTGGATACCCACGCAAGCGGAAAATGCGTGTGCGGACCACTCAAAATCAAGAATCCTCCGGACGTGGATTTTGCATCTCGCTCTCCAGCGAAATCGGCGTCCACATAAAAAGACAGATGCAAATCCTCAGTCGAATCTTGAACTGTGCCTACCAGCGTGCTGTTGACCGTGCTGTTTATGTAGCAAACAAGCCTATGTAGCTGCTTATCGCAGTTTCTAGACCATTTTTGAACAAATGAGGCAAGGTCGCCAATGGGCTTGACCAGGTCTGGGCGTGCCAAACGGCCGAGCCATAAGGCTTTCATCAACACGCGGCAAGCGGCAAAGCCGAGCTCACCCTCCAAGGCGTCATCTGCAGGATCTAGGGATCCAGCGGGACAGAATGGAGTGGTGGCATCGCGGAGCTTTTCACTTTTCAGCTGCGCAACCTCAAGATATAATGCTACCGTTTGACGGGCATAATCCCGCATGTCGAACGCCATGCCCCCTTTCAATCTGCCCATAGCGGCATTAAGATCGGGTTCGGTTGGGTCCTTTGGAGCATCTATCAAAAGGTGGTTCCTGCCCAGCACCCGATATATGTCTTCTGGGGGTTCTATATCAACCAGTCTTGTTAACTTTTCCCAGAAGTCTTTATGGAGGTGGCTGGGACCGGCCAACGTCAAGTCGTCGACGTATGTCGAGAGAAGTAACCCGGACTCCTTGAACCAGAAGTTCCCAGGAAACTCTGCGACTTCACGCCCTCCAAGTTCACTAATGAACCCTTTGAGGTGTGCCTCCCAGAGTCCGCCAGCGTCAGGATGCCCATAAAGAGCTTTAACGAGCAAAACCACAGGTTTCACGAAACGCTCGCGCCACCACCTTGGCCGGAGCTCAGGCGGGAGTGTGATCCAAGTTTGGTACTTGGACTTCAGCAGTGCTTGCACATAAGCCTTTATAGCGTCCGCTGTTGTGGTGGAATTCCCTGGCAGGGATCCATAAGCGAGACAGTTATTAAGACCTTGTACGCTCGTGGGATTTGCTCCCAACTCTTGGTAGACAGCTGCTGCGCCATGTTCATCTTTCGCACAGTCTCCGCGATACACAATCCTACCTTTCATCTTCTGAAGGTGTTTCGCGAGTTCGGCGAACTTGACGGATGCTAGCGACATCAACTGCCCGAAATGGACTTTTATACTGGATCGTCGCGCCTCAGCAGCGACTTGATCATATTCTCGGACTGAATTTAGATCCCAAGCACCGGCTTTCTCCAGGCCTGTGGCTTCAAGTCGAACGGCTTCAAGAGCTTCCGGGGAAGCCAACATTTCGGCACGTGACAAGAGTCTGGTCACCATTGCGGTGATCTCAGGATCCTTCTTCTCTTTGACTTGTCCTAGGGAATGTGCGATGAGATTTTCAACATCAAGAACTTGCTCAAGAATGTTGTGACACTTTTCATCGGACTCAACAGCAACACCTATATCTTCCAAACCAGAGAGAGGGGATATGTGTTTCAACTGCTGTTCACGTTCCCGGTGATCGAGAGGCAATGGCACTTGAACAGGCATCGCAGGCACAGCGGGTTGAACTGTCGGATACAGCGCACGGGCAACTGTGAGACACATGCCTTCGGGGTAGAAAGCGGTCTTTGCGGTCTTGTTACCTGCTGCAAGCGAATGCTTATACCCTTTTTCGTGCGGACACTTGAATGCACCTAGTGCGGATGCGAGTGTGCTATTGCTGGTCATGACTTTCCATGGCTTCTTGATGGGATAACCATTGCTGTCCTTCAGACCTAGGGCGCAACCATGGAAGGTCGCTGGGGTGAAGACGTGTGCGTATTCTCTAAAGAATGCAGAAACATCATCCCTAGCCCAGCTGTCGCAATCCCTTGGCCATTCAAACGAAACACTACCCCCCTGATGGAGGACAGTCTCTGCGTGACGTCTGAATCTGGAGAACAACTCTCTCGACTCTTTAACCTTTTGCTTCAGTTTCTAGTTGAACTGGCTTCCTAACTTGGCCTTATTAAGGCGTTGCCATGCTGAACCTGATGTGCAGGGAATTGCGGCCCAGAGATTGGGTTTATCACAACCTTCAATCTGCGACTGCAACTGGATTTCTCCTTCATCTGTGCTAAGGTCGATAAACTCTTTAGCCAGCCTAACATGAGGTATGCCAAGACCTTCAAACACGCGACCCATGTTGGACTCTGGTGAACATGCGTATTCGAACATCACGGGCAACTTGTCAATACGTGCCTGTTTCTTGCGGGCACGATGATTTCCAACCTCAAACTGCTTGCGCTGTGGAGCTTCAACCTCTGCGCTGCATGGCATGCCAAAAATTGGCAATGTGTTCGGACGACCGTTCTTTGACGCTTCGGTGAGAGGTGTCGGCGGTACGGAGTCTAACATCACGGCTGCACCTGTGGTGATAACACAATCGGACTGAATGGGTTTTAACTTGAACACTGTGAACCCGGTCCATGCATCTCCAAGTGAGCGATTGGGTCGGCTACCAAACCAACCATCGTGGAGGTTGTCTGCTTTGCCCCCCTGAAACACGGCACGAGTGGTGCGAGCTGCAGTAAATCTTTCTGGGGAAACGGGGCAATCCTCGACCTCTTTTGGGGTAAAAAGATTCTGCCTTGGCATGATATGGCATCGAACCAAACAGTTGGCATTTTCTTTGAACATCCAAAAATCTTCACCTTGCGATGTAGCGGCTGTCGTTGGTGCGGTATCGAAAAATGAGCCACCGGGTCTTGAGGGAGCGGGCTCCCCAGCTTCGGCTGCATCAAGTTCATGCGCAACATCTTCTGCACTAACTGCGGGCTTAGGATCCTCTCCATGCTCGGATGCGTGGATTGCTCTAGCTAGCTCCTCATCCCCTTCAGTATGAACAATGGGAATGGGTTCCTTAGATTCAGTTTTGGCAGCGCTTTTTGCAGCTGCTTCAGCTCGATCTGCAGAAACAAGTTCGGAGAACCTCTTCTTGCATTCGGCACTGTGAATCTTGGAATGACCAGTGCATGCACGGCAACCTGGCGTTTCCTTGAACTTGATGATCCTCTCAACAGTTATGTACACGGATTTTGACTTGACAGCGGATGGAGTCGGTGGGGCACCAAAGGGCGCCTCTCGCAGGGGCATAGGGGGATCAGACCCTTCTGTCTTGCCACCATGCAATGCTCTATCTGCTGCTGCTGCAATCGGAAAGCTTGGGGGTCCGTCTTCAACGAACAATTCCGGTTCAGGAACATCGTGAACGGAAATGGAACCATCTTTACGGAAGGCTTCATAGTCCATGACTTTGACCACGTTACGGTACCGCAACCCCGGATCGACCCTCCAACCCAAAAAGCGCAGGCGCCATGTTCGGATCGAGAGTGAGCTTGCCAGGAGTCTTGGTTCTGTACCAAACCAATTGCCCGAAACAGCATCTCTTCCCTTGGAACTTTTCTTTGGTGAGGGCTTCCCATTGGGTTTTCCCTGGGCTGAATGGTGCAGGCCTGTCGAACGACATGGAGAGACATGCAAATGGGTAACTAAACGTATGCAACGAATAGGGCAACCCTGAT